AGCTGTTAAATAAAGGTCAATCGCAGGCATTGAGAAACTATTATGAAATACGAATCAATATCGGTACTTCTTATATTCATATATGGGTTAAGGTGGAGTCATCCTAAACAGAGATGAGTGCATTGGTAAGGTGATGTCCTTAAACTGGAGCACTGGCTAACAAGGTGCTTTGAACCAGGCTGTAAAAACTGGCACCCTATAGTTTGAAGGACAGTTTTAAATTTGTACAAAAGCATGGCAGCCTTAGTGCTTCCGATAAATTCATGGTCTTGTTTGATGTCTCATCACTCTTCACAAGCATCCCTTCGGAAGAAACGGCAGATGTCATATATGAATATTACGAACGTCTGTCTTTACCAATCCACGTATTTCAACAGCTGCTGTTTCTGTGTACCAAAAACATACAATTTTAATTTAACAATATGTTCTTCTACCAAATCTATGCAGTAACTATGGGTGACTGTTTGGGTCTAACTTTGGCCTATATATTTGTGGGAAACCTGGATCAGAGGGAGCTCAAGCACGTAACTGTTGGGACTACACTCAACTGTAAATATATTGATGACACATTTCTCGTCTGTCACAATCCTAAGCACTCCATGAACATACACAATCTGCTTAACAAAACACACGAGGTTAAAGATTCTAACATGAAACACGAAGTATGAGGTATATTCCACTTCTAAGATTTCGGACTCGGACGAACATCAAACGTAACATTACAAAGACACATTCACAGCAGAATATATGGAATAGAGTTTATATCAATTACAACAGTTTCTGTCCAATGAGTTGCAAAAGGGTATTATACTAACCCTTTTTAACCGCGCACGCAAAATTTGCTAAAAGGTATGCCTAGATGAAATTGCTCTCACTAAAAATTACCTACGCGAAAGTGTATATCCGAAGAAGTTTATCGAGAAATATGCTAAACCCGACCCTCGGGCTAAATACGATACAGTTGAAAAGAAAACCCACTTCTTACACTTGTGCTTTAAAGGAGATGAAGTTTATGGGACAACAGATCACAGGAAACATTTCACATTGCAAGAGACTAATACGCCAGTAAAACTGACGACGCTATGGAGAACAATCCTCTGGCTCACAATTGACAGGTCATCTTTTCTCAGTAGCTCCGACTGCATCTACAAATCTTCATGTACGTGCCAAAGTACAAACATTGCAAAAACCGTGAAAAGATTATATGTTCACATCACAAGCATGTTCCGAAGAAATTAAGACTGCGAGCGACAAGGCCTCTCAACAACGCAATAGCTCGGCATTCATGTGACACTAGGCATACCACTGACGTTCCTCAAGCTTTCAAACTGGTAGCAGACAAAAAGATACTGCTTCTCTTCGCTTTGCTGAAGCAATCACAATAAAAATCTCAGACCAGAAACAAATGCTGGAATTCCGAACGGATGGATGCTTCAGTTTCACAGGATAATCTACAGCATGTAGACTGGGAGCTTCATCCTCAAGTTAGCGTGGTTGCTCATTGGGATATTTACTATGAACGACTTTTTGTGCTACAGAGCATTCTGTTGCACCAAAAGCCCGAAAATATACAAGCAACCTACGGTCATCAAGAATCACACTTTCTTCTTCGAAATGGTAATAACACCGCACACAGGCAATTTAATAAATGTAAGGGACATGTGCATTAAGGTAACAGAAGACAAGTTTCAGTACCAGATATAGCTTATCGAAAAATCAGTGACTGATGTGATAATTCGAGTGCCTAAATAACGCTGTTGCTTCAAAATATAAATTAATTAATTAATCGACCGGTTATGAAGACAGTGCGAGAAGATCAAGTTGTAAGGTTAAGAGGAGAAACGTGGACGATAATAAGTGAATTGGGAAGTAGTTACTGACATTCAGTGATGATAAGAGTAGGTAAATTATGGGATGTGCACCATGCACAGCTGGACCAAACGGAAGACGACAAACCATGGTTGATTAGGTGTTTATCGAGTCTCCTTTCAGAGAAATTTACTAAGGGGACGGTGGTCTCCGACTGGAAGAGCATTCAAATTGAGGATAACTCTTGATCAGAAAAGTGGGAGTGCATCTAATTTTTTCTCTTTTATATGCGACTATTTGGGGGTTAACTTGAAGCGCGTAGTAGTTATTTTCTGGTTGAGTGGTTGTGTTGTGGTGAATCGACGTACTTATTATGTTATATGTCATATCATCTTTTGTTCTGTTGTAGATCAGTGAGAATAATTTCAAGTGTTGGAGTATGTCGTTGTCGAAATTATGTTTCAGACTTATCGTCCACTTGGTTATCTATGTACTTAGTCTGGATGATTACTATCCCTTTTGTAGACGGTTGGTGCAATGACATTTTGGACTTCAAGGTGGGGTCATGCGTGCGTCTCAAAGTGTTAGGATCAAATATGAGGTGATTGTGCCATGTTATCTACGTATGAAGTGGAGAGTTGCGGTTGATGTTGCTGCGTCGCCCATACAGTTTGAACTGTTGTCTAAGCTCTTCGTGGTTAAAAGTCCAAGGTCACGCCCCTGGGAGATAGTCTGCAGAAGATTACCATAGAGGGTGTGGGTGGTTTGTGTCGTATGAGACAGGACGTTTATGACATGATAGTTCGACCTGTTAAGTTCCAATCAAGTGGCTACAACTGCATTTAACATTTAACACTAAAAATATCATAGTCCGTATTGCTACACGTAACATAATTGATGAAATTGATGAAACTATTTACCAGCCTGGTCAATGAACTGACTCGTAATTACCATCGACTAGTGTTGTTTTCTCGTGCTTATGTTTATGTATAATAGATTATTTCAGTGTGTTTCTCTATCAGTTGCTCATTTAGTAAATATCATAGAACATTGTCAGTATAATGGAGGTTTGGGGATATAACCATTCATGCAGATCATCGGTGTATGCAGTCAAGCAAATCTCCTGAAAACTTAGAATATCGCTGTCGAATATACCCAGTCACGAAGAGAGGTTCAATCCCAACATAGACATGAGTTGGGAGTTGTAGTCTCCTCGGTTATCACGTGTGCTGTTGCTGATAATCACATAAGCAGCACTCCCTGTTTTTATCACCTTGTAAAAATTGATATAGCCGAAAGCATCGTACAACAACATATCACCTACATTTGTGGCACATAAGCTCAGTTGATTTCAACACCTCATAATCACTCAAATTCATACAAATCGATTTTTGTACAGTCTCAAACTTGATACTTGCAACTGACGTATATGTACCTTTAACCGACATGCATGAGTTTCAAATGTCGATATGTTGCACATTAGAACATGGAGTCTAGAGCATATCTCTTGCGAATGCACTAATGTTCAACGAACTACCACCAGTTTTATGTCCGAAATTCACATAATTAACATTATTTTTACGTATAAAGTGTACGGTTGATAACAGTTCACACTAGTTGTATTACTAAATACAATAACAATGTCGATAATATCTCCCTGTATCTAAATAAACTGTATTAAACTTAGCAGAAAAACTGGAATATTAGTTAGAATTCTTCATTTCTGCGGTCATACCGTTGTTTCTTTAGCTAACCTGCTAATGAGAAAAATGAAGCTGAAAATCAACTCATATGGACAGCCTGCCAACATCAAAGTTAACTGATTTTCTAAATTAAAGCGAAGGTAATACCGCGATCAAAATTTATACAATGCTGACCTTTTTCTTTTTCTATGCACGAAATACCTATACCACCCTAAAGCTAAGCTATTAACCAGCGGTTACAGCTATTCATCTTATTATGACTTAGTAAAGTATTTATATACAAAATCTTTCCTCATCACTGAAGTCACACATTGTCTAACCCTTAAGTAATATTCGCATAGATTACCATTTTGTGCGTGTTCAGGATTAATTCAAACATTTTGGAGTTATCACACGTACTTTCCGATCAGATGATGCCGCTTTCTTTTTGATTTTTGTTTCAATTTATTAACACCTGGAACATCCTCATTATTCTTTTGTGAATCCCTGGCGTGCAACAATTCCAATCGACTTGTGATCGAAACAACGTAATGTTGATCCTGGTAGGAAAGCGATGTAATGTTACTTATTCCCAACCACACGATCCTCAAAGCTGAACATACGATCACACTAAATATTCACATTCATCATGTAACACTTAGAGAGGATAAAAAATGATGAACGCAGCCTTGCAGATGTGATGATTCTGTGTAACTCACGCCTTTCCAAATAAAATACATTATTTTACCCCCAGCCAAATATATTCTTCAAAAGTACCAAATATCATATCGATGATTGTCATTGTAGGACGACTTAATATACACCGTGATGTGACATCCACGTAACGTGGTCACATAATAGCAAATCCATGATTTTAAGATCATGTCTATCACTATAATAACAAAGATAAATCTACTAATACCAACGTATGCCATAATTCTACAGACAGACGACGAGAAGAAGAAAATCAGTTGTGATATCAGCACATTTTGACATGACGATAGGTTATATTTTGCACACTCAGGAATATAGAGGAACAGAGTAACTCCCAGCCAATATCGTTGTGGTGAGCTAGGGTAGACCAATGGATTTCTCTGTGCTATCTCATCTATGGCAATATTTGAGAACGAGTTCAGCGACATTAAAAAATGTTCGGTGGTCTATCGAAGGAACCTTTATTATAAATTTTTCCGTTTGAGACTGTTATTTATGAGCTACTTCATCCAACACCACATGATGAGAGCTTTCCATAAATTATAGTCGCCCATCAATGTAAGATGTTCCTTTATATTCCTGAGTATGTAGAAGAAAACCACTCGTTCCGAGCTCCAAGAAGTGGTGATTTTGGAATGGAATCCTTTAACTTTGAACGATTAGTTAGCTCAGCGTACTTTGTGGTTTAAAGTGTTTTGTTTTAATTTATTCTCCTGCTAGGTCATAATTTAGGATTGCACTTTCACACGGTTTTAAATACCATAACTTTTTAGTGCAATACATTTGTCCTGGAAAATGCAGTGTAAATTATGTGAGTTACTTTGTGTAGAAGTTATCTGGTTTTTATAAAAAGTTGTTGAAATTGCCAACACTTTCGAAATAAAGAGACCCGACTGTTTATGGGAATAAGTGTTAGCATTCGGTGATGCACAGCCCTTGAGTTTACAGTCATATTTCCGATTATGAATAACTGTCTTCTACCTGGAGTAACGGTCAACTGCATACATCATCGGGGAGAGGTGTTTCTTTGTCAGTAATTCTTAGATGCACTGTTGTGTGATATCAATATTTCTTATAAGTGACCTACCGCACTCTAATTCATCTTATATAATATTTGTTTGTTTGTTGTTTCATGCATTCATCTATCTGGTTTAAATAGCTAGTTTGCATCAAACTCTTCTCATCTACCTGCTATATGCTATAGTCGTGCGATTTTTAGATTACAACTAACCAGTCCTTTGCATGGGGACATGATGGCCGCTGGTTCCAACAACCCCTCTACATCAAAGTAAGTGCACTTGCCTACATTCAAAGTCTACCAGCCCTCAAGTAACTGTTGGATTCACCAAGAGTAGTGCAATCGAGTGTCTAGATCCATCGTTTGTTGTCACTCAAGATCTGAATCTGTACCTCCACATACAAACGCCATCATGAAGGGGCAATTGGCTTACTTCAGCTTTTTACAGATACGCTATACATCAAATATCCATACTTTCCATTTTTGTTAGTCAGTGTGAAATAGGAATATGTCATAAATCCTTTCCACATACTCTATACTTAGAGGAGTTTATGCCGAATTTTACTTGTAAGTTATCAGAGTTTACTTATTTCAACTAGAGCTGTAACAGAAAAAATTAAATCTATTCCCAAAAGTCTCCGTTTTGAGTGTTTAATGCTTCATCTTATATTTGTTCACATCTGATAGACTTCTGTTTATCTCGGTAAGATCCCTGCAGCTGACAATATGATTACCTTTGGGACGATTCATAGACAAAATTGTGAAAATGATATACCTATTCAACAAGCTCAGTATTCTTATCTCTCTCAGATTTGAATTGGAAGTTTAATTAGCCGTGTGTGACAACCATCATGTGAAGAAGGTCAACAGATTGGATGATTAAACGTTTTTTTTTCATTTTGTAATTCACTGTGCCCTCCAAATTAACGTGACTAGTCGAAACATCATGCTAAAATATATTCTGATATCAATTGATTGGCTTCTTCCTGTGGTATACCTCCTCAGATCTTATGCGTAGCTTTGACTAAGTTCACTTAGGAGTTAGTTAGCTGTAATTTACCTATATTTAAAGACACGACTGTTTTATTGATGCCAAAAAATATTTACCACACATATGAAATAATTTGTTAAGGAATAAATAAGAGAAGGGTAGTACAATCGATAAATAGGTGGAGAAGAATAATATATGGTGAGCAATACACTTCAGCAATTAATAAGGCCAAGGAAAACTCACTTTAATACGAGCAAATTATTTCGACAAAAGCTACACCAGGATCCATATTGGCTTCTAGATTGAGTCACGCAACCATCCATATAACAGATTTACCAAATACTTCGGTTGGTTTACTACAGAGTCGGCGTAAAACAGCATCCTGGCATTATTGCAGGAGCATTTTGTGTTTTGTATGTGTGAAAAGCATATTATTCCCACGGACACTAATTATTAAATAAATGAGAAGGATTTCAATAACCTGGCTTTCATCATACAGTAAAGTAATATCATCCGCGTGCTTAAGATAAAAATGTCTGCATATAGGGATCTAAAAGTATCATTGAACTTTGGATTATGTGGTCTCTTAGGAGTTTTAAGAGGTTTTCAGGAATCAATTGTTTTTAAACAGGTTGCGCTGTAAAACGACAAGCGATTTGACTCACCATTTCCACACTGTATCATCGGTAACCAAAATCACTTATGGTTAAATTCTTTGATAATAACCCCGGACGAGTTATCTGAATCGCCTAAAATCAAAACACAACGAAAAAAGAATATTATTGAAGTTGATGATTTTCGGTACATTTTGAGCGTCTAATCCTATGTATTGTTTACAGACATTTTTCGCTTGAAATGTGACGGTAAAGCTTCCTACTTTAATTGAGACATCACTCATTTCTGACGTTCTATGAATCAAGGTAATCAACAAAGTTCAATGTTAATTAGCAAAATGTTGAATACCTTTTTTGGATTCATAGTTTTAAGAGAAGCCAAATTATGGTTATACTAACTATAGTTAGAATAGTATACTTTTGGCTAATGCTTTTATTTAGTTAACAAGTGAAAATCGTTTAAGGACTGGGGGTAAAAAGTTGCATATATTTTCCCATATTTAACAAAACTTAGTGACATTGGAGAAATTAAACGTCTTATGTTTGCTCAAAACTCATTTTATTTTTCGATGAACACAATAACAAGGCCCTGGGCGTATTCATAATGTTGGCTGATAGGGTTCTGTCCACCGAAATTTTGTATGAGGACAATTTGCTTCCCTGATAAATAACATTTAAGGCATTCCTTTATATTTAACTATAACGATCAATGAGAGCTATTTCTACATACGAACTGCTTACTCAACAAAACTGACTTACCATAAATCATTTGCCATCAAACTTTGAGACATGCTTTACGTGTTTCAACGAGTGATACCATCCGATCGGTGAGACTCAAGTACGTAGACGTGAGTTCGAACCTGCAAGTCGACGGTTGAGGAATAATTCCATTGGACCACAACTCTTATCTAGGAGTAGTTGGGTCATTTTCGATGTGAATTTATTTTTCAAATGTTTATAGTATGGCTGTCGCTAATGAGGGTTTATATAGTTTGTCAAAATCCTTATGTTCTTACAGCGGTTGTAGTTTATTATGATTTTTCAACATCAATATCTGATGAAGTGCCTGGAAAATTACTGCATTTACAGATTACTTGGCCTCCAATTTATCACATTTTAAGCAACTAATAGTAAATGAATAACCTTCTTTCACACTTTCCTATGTACACAGTAATGAGTCTTAACATAAGAATAAAATTGCAAACAATGCTTGTTTAAAGCTAAATATGTGAGAGTGATTTGAAAAATGCAATCTGACAACAGAATACTGTAGCTATAGTTCAACTGTATCGACGCTTTTCAATAAAGTTTGTCTACTGATATTTGATCACAGTCTGTAAACAGAACATATTCGTAGCTATGAATTCGCAACTCTTTGAGTGTGATACTTATGGAAGTTCGAAAATATATCGTAGTAAGTTTTATGAACCACACTAAGATGCGTTTATGATTGGACATGTAGCTTAGCAACAATAGTAATATAATAATTGCCTTTTTAAATACTATATGTTTGGTAAAGTATCTAATTCGCCATCGCGAGGAAGCTCTAAAGACTATAAGTGGTGGTTCAAACAAACTGTACACCGCCTCAGTCTTAATACTACACGTTTGTTGGACCAAAGTTTGACTAATTGAGCTGTAATAGTCTGCAGAAAAATGCCGTTTTATTTATGCGATAAATTATGTCTTCTACTTTTCATCTTTTTGGGTTATTTTCAGTAAACGATCGCAGAGGAGTTCTAATTTAATTCAAATTGATTTTATTATGGCAATATTCTTAGATGATCTTCACTGAATTACTTCCTCCAACAGTGTTTCTTTTAAATCTATGATGAATTTTTACTAACCAAGCGTATTTTCACTGAGCCCTCATATATGTAGGAAATAAAAAATTCTATCCTATTTCAACAATCTTGTATTCCGTGATAAACTATTCTCAAATTTGTGGAGAGAGCAAATGATTAGTTATGAGTATATTGTTCCATAACTTCTTTAGATGCAATATCACGAAACCGTTATTTAAACTCTTATTACAATTTGTTATTGAATTTTAGGTGTTCAATCAGATTATCCTCATCACTACTACAAAGTACACAAACCAAACGTTTCAGAACCATATGTATCCCCACATGTAAACAGACAGTCAATCATAATTGATTCCAAGGTTGGTCTTTGTCCACAACATGGAATGTTAATAAATCAAATATGATTTTTTGAGCAATATTTTTTGTGTCTGGACATGATTGATGTCTGATGTGATCTCGCTGTAATTCATCAAGTATATGTTTATTTGATTACCTTGAGTCACTCCGTCTGAGTGCTAGTGGCACTCATCGCCTGCTTCGTTGGTCATATTATTGGTCACATTAGTGTTTAATGTTGTTGAGAAAAGCAACGGATCCTTCTATTGATTTTAAGAGGTAGTCAAATACCTTGCATTTCATTCGTAGGAGCAAAAGTAGTGTATCATTCATGTCTCCAAATGAACAAATTTAAAATGAATAGATTACACTCTGAGTTATAGGTCACTTACTGAAAGTCAGAAATCACTGCTGGTCTAGATATTTACTGGTCAAAACCAAACTATTGGTTGTCATTTTCTTTGTTTAAATAGACTTATGAACAGTTAACCTGTGATCAGTGCCGCAACATTGTTCAGTAGCCACCAGTGTGCTAAAGTTAAAATCTACCACAACATTGTTAGTTTCCTCACTTCAGTACTGTTATACAGTTGTAATTCAAATGTATTATGACAACCGGATTCACTCCATTATCATTCGAAATTGCAAGAAGTATCTGTAAGTCACAAGCAAAAATATGTAGAAACTTATCTTCGTATTTTTTACAACGACAATTTTGATACTTTACTAAGGATAGCTTTGGAATAAGACAGAAATTTATGACTTTTTTATTTCAAGAACTCCACGCTTACTTCAATCAAAAGGTGGAATGTTGCAAGCGACATACTTCATATTTGTGGTTCACAAGATATTTACAGTTAATGGCGCGACCTTGGGTAGCACGGTTGAAAGTCAATAGTGGCCAACGAAATGTTATCACGGATTTAAAAATTTACTCAACCTTTGTTAGTCTGTGCCGTCAATGTTGTAATCATAATATCTGTCTACATATCGAAGAGCGAGTATAGTGTACAACAGCTCAATATGTTTTACTTCATATCAGTAGATTGTGACATTTGAGGCCTAAGTGTTCACTTGGAGTTTCGGGACTTAATCACAGCATTCTCTATGTATTGTGAATAATATCAATCATGGTTGAGGGTAGGGTGTTATATTGGAAAATTCTGTTGGTTAGTCAACCCTCAATAATCTAAGTTGTTAGAATTCATCTTAAGCATACCCGACCATCACCGACCCTGAATCACATTTCTACCTGGGATAATAGTAGAATAGAAATAGGCAGGGTAAAAACGAGTATAACAATAATTCATAGAGTCATTTGCCATTGGATTAATAGGTGTTGAAAGGAACAAACTTTCTAGGTAATCACCGTGAGATAATCGTAGCCATTGATTAGGGACTCGACCATTGACATTATTGTATCTAATTTCTTCTGCTTGGTTTCTTTCTGTATCAATATGAAGAATGGAGACAGGGTCTTATAGGTATCTTTTCCAAGTCCTGCGTTGTTTATGATTCCCTGCGTAATAACTGTTTAGGATTCAGTGCAGAATTTCTGCGAACTTCTGAACAGGTTCCTCTGGAAATTTATTTGGCAACTTTGAATTGGTGACGACGACATGGTAGTTACGGTTTTACACTGAGGAACAGTCTAATAATATAAATTTATTGGCAGACGGTTTTATGCATTTCCATTTCTTTCATTAAAAGTGGGATCTTTTTTGTTTTTTAAGAAACAATAGACATTCATAAATGGGATTATTCGTTTTGATACATAAATAGAAATATAAAAATTTAAACAATTGAACTAGCAATTTCCGGACAGATTATTTTCGTCAAACATTTGTTATGCTTATTAAAATGCGATAAAATATCATTTTCTAAGTATAGGGCTATGAAAATTATCTATCCGTTAACTTGTTTTGTAGGGAGGTAGATTCATTCATTCAACACAATTTTTAAGCTAGTAGGATGGTATGAGTCCTATTCCAGTGATGAAGGGCAAACAAATAAAGTTCATGTGCAAATTTTATTTGACTCATGGCTATACCATTGATATACTGGTTGGGCTTTCCTACTGTAACTAGCCTATCGAGCTGTATTGGTTGAAATACTTGTTATTCGACGTTTTAAAAGTTTTATTTTCACATCCTTATCTGAATCGTCTCATTATATCGTCTATAATTGCGATTCTGGGTTATATTGAGTCAAATTTCCAATAGGATATAAGATTTATTGAGTTTTCGAGTGTCCCTATTGAAAACTTTTAAGCCGAAACTCTCGGTTGATTGTAAATAAAGCTACCACTTTCGCTTTTACATGATCAATGCGCATTGATGATATAACTGCTTTTGATTTAATGAATCAAAAAATAAATGGTGGAAATTTCCTTACATCAAAAAGAATTAATGAGTGTTCGATCTATTATTTTCTAGACAGGGGCTCGTAAATCCCCTTTCACAACTCGGCTTACTCTAAAGTTTTCTGACGTACGCACTATGAAGAATTTGTTTGAAAAAGGTTTGGAGACTTCACGTAAGTTTTTTTATTGGAAACGAGGTTTATTAACAATCTACCAAAACCTCAATATTTTCAAAATATTTTGTTTGTTTTATATGCAATCAGTATTTATGATCTCTTTTATTTTCTTCAGTTGTCTTATACGAAAACAAACTGTTCATAAACGTTTCCTGAACAGCTAATTGAGAAGACTAGAAACTACTGAAAAGCTGTAATTGGGAAACAAAAACAAGTGTATACAAATCTGTGGTATATATATCTCCTAGACCTAGACAATAACATATAAGCTTAGACCTTGAAAATGTACATTATAAGCTCCACCCAATAGCATGCCTTATCTATCACCTAGCTTTCGGCATAAAGGTGGCATTTGAATACAGGCATGTGATTTGTGAGAATTCACCCAGTCTATCACTTTACCTTCCTGAAAAATAAGCCCCCCTTTTCGAATTCAGTTGCCTGAGTTGATATGCACGTATGTCGAATTCCCATCTCACAAACGTATCTTTTCGCCATACTCCCAATCTAGAGTATGTGAAACATAGTCAAACAGATATTTTTCTGGTTTCAATAACAACTTCACATAATCTGCATTAGAAACCATTTTGTTACCCAAATATTTAGCCTAATAAATTAAATGTAGTATTTAAGTGCTAGCAAGTAATTGGTAGAAGCAGTAGGCCCATTGTGAAAGCTTGCTATGATTTTTCAATTCGATAATTTTTCACTTGGAATGGGATACAAAATGATTTATCGGAAATGTAATATTGTTTCATATACCTTGATGCTGCTGGACACTTGTTGATCATTTTTGCTGAACAATGAATGAGGTTTCCCCTTGTGATATGTAGTTAGATTTCGTCGTCAATATCTTTTTTTATTTGCTGCGCTTAGCACTCCAGTTTTTATATACGTCTGATTTCATTCCTCCATTATTTTAAATAGGCTTTCAACCCTGTTTGGGACGACGTTCTAGTCCAAATGAAAAATATACTTGGTTAACGTATATAGAAGTAAGATATACTAACAAAGCTAATATTTTGTCGGCATAGGTAGATGACAAAATACAGGCATTTGGATCAGCTTTAGTGAAAGTTGCTTCTCATATTCCATGGAGTGATAATTGTGTTGGTATTTTTGGTCGGAATTCACCCGAGGCAAGTTGATATTTTTCACTTTTTACACTTACGTGTATATATGTCTACATAATTCACTGACGAGTATTTAAATAAGGTTTTGAAGTAGAGTGTTTGCTGGGTCTCCTATAGTAGATCAAACGCTTAATTTAACCACTGATATTTATAAATTGCGACATGGTGTGGCATATTTTCACACGCACCTGTTGAGTAACGGATTGATCGACACTGGTAACACACCACACATTTCAGAAAACTTTTAATAACTAATTCTCTATTCACAACATATCAAAGACATTCTCTTCATGGTTACATCTTAGGTAGGTACCTTGAAAGGTTTCATTACTCTTCTCAATTCACAAAGTAAATGGAAGTATTGTTTGTTTTAATTTCATGCAGAATTTTTATAGTATTTCGAGTTATATGTCTATGAGCAGTTGAAGTTATTATCTACAAATATGACCTTATTGGTAGCACTGGATTCTAAGTAAGCCAATAGTTTAAAGACAATATTTTTCTAGTTATTTTAGTAATTCATATTAAGACAAATATAAATCTGTTATAACTATGAGCCTTTTCACAACGTGTTAATAGTAAATATTATATTTATTTCACCTGTTAAATTGTTTCAACTTCAGTCATTTATTCCGGCACCAATCATAAGTTTTTTGGAACGACTATTTATCAAAAACCTTCCAATAAAATATACTTTATTTAGTATTTAGTTTGAATTTTATTTTATTTTTACAGTGGTTTATTGCGCAGCACGCCTGTGCAGCTTATGGGTTCCCAATAGTTCCTATCTATGCAACTTTAGGTGACGAAGCCATGCAACATATCCTTAAGCTAAGTAAGACATCTGTCAGCTATTTTATATTACTTTTATTCTCTCTACTAATCGGATATACTAACATCCTTTTGGGAGTATGAAAAACTATTTCAAAATACGAAAATTATTATCGTTAATGAATTGTATTTAAAATATCACAATATCAAGAACACAATCCCATTATTTCATTCACCTACTTAATGTATACGCCTGTATGAAATTAAATATCTTTCTTTTTATTGAAATAGGGAATAAGTTTAGTATTCGCCTTAGTTCTTACATATCAAAAATATGTGAGTTGTAAACTTTTAGTTCGTATTTATACCGTTCCGAACTGTATAATTTGTATGTAAATAATACTTGTGAATTACATGAGTCAGTTGAATTCGACTACTAAACAAACGATTATGTCGACTATCAGACGGGGACCACTTGATCTACAACATGAAAATTGCGTTGGGAGTATTTTAGATTGACTTTCAGACAACTCGGTTTTTATTCATGAAGTGCATTGTTAACTTTTATTTATCAATTGAGCAACTTGGATAAGAGCCTCAGAAGTGATATTATGATTTTTGAAATCACGGATAATTATCCCTAATGTTCTCAATAAGCTGACTTTTAACTTTATTAATAAAACTTTTAGCATGAGATTTTTGATATTTGTGTTGTATACGTACGCAATTTTAAAATATATCCTTGTTATATTGCTTCTCATTGTTAACCAAAGAGCACGTTGAAGATAATCGCGTTCATTCTTGGTAATCACTTTTAGACTTCGATGTGTCAACTTTCTGCAAAATTTCATTAACAAACTACGTTTTGGAATGTATTTTTTATAAATCAATGGAATAGAACGAGCTCTGAAAAATCCTTTTATTTTTTTGAGGCACACCAGCCTGCACATTGATCCTTAAGAAATTTACGAAGTTTGGATAAGAAACAAGAGACCTGTTAGTTGGAGTTTGCTAATGAGTTGAAATCAGATGCATTTGGTAACTTTCAAAAGCTATTTCAACTCAGCCGAGCCACTGGCAGCAAGGGATCTGATGTCAGTGAAATAATCTGTCAAATTGATGACACACCATTTAGTAGTCTCTAAAAGTGCTTCGAACACTGTATGGAGGACTCCGAAGGACAGTTAGTTTTTTGCTACAGAAGTGTCGATCGAACTGTCCTGTGCTCCTGACCTAATGGCTGCTGGTTTTGGTGACATACTCTCATGTCTTTTTATGAATGTTAACGAATTTCTGGTCAGAGAACTGATTAAGTTGTTTTGAAGATTTCGAGGAATTGAGTGCTCCATCACCTTTGGATTAAGCGATCGTCATATCTATTTTTTAAAAGGAGACCTAAGTATGTTATGCTACAAATATCAGCCGGTAACTCTACTTCAGACTGCTACCGATTTACCAGCTTCCCTCATACTCTGCAGATTGTAGTAAGCTCACGAAGGAATGAATTGCGAGGATCAAGCTAGTTTTCTTTGTGGCCGTAGACCCATTGACGTCTTCACCATCGAATAAGCGACGTCACATTTATTCCAGTTCAATTATCGTTACTTTTGATTTGTTTGACACGATTGTACTTTAAGACTTCAAGTACGATGTGAATGAGAAATTCATTTACACACTCAAGGCTATGTACGAGAACACTTCAGGCAGAGTGTGAACAATAACCATCTATCTCCATTTTTCCAGTACGATATTGGGTGGAATGGTTGCTCAATCTCAACATGGAGTGAAGTCTTACATTTCTCTTCTTAACTTGGGTCAGAAATCAATTGTTTCTAAGATTAATGTCATATCTCGGTTTTAGTACTATGAAGATATATTGAACGTACTTGTATCTCATTCTTTATTGCTTATCGGTATAAGATTTTAACTCAACGCATTTTTCAGTGTTGTTACTTGAAATAGAGATGTTTTTGTTGATTAAAATATTCCGTTACTAATAAATATTAATCTCAACATTCGTTTTTTACTCATTTTTCTTATAAAATTCATTACAGCTGAACTACGTGTTGTTGTGTGTGACTCGGGTGAAGAAATATGCCGTGTCTTAGAACAATCATTGTCCTTCATCAATTTAGTAATTGTAGTAAACGATGGTCCTAAAGTCGCAGAAGCCAAGGTTCGGTTTTCATCAAATGTGAAAATCTATTTATTTGATGAATTTTTAGTAAGTGTTTCTATGACTTTCTATCATATGAACATTTCATCACAGAAAAAACTTGACTTTATGCTATGAATTTCAACTGACCAATACTATGATATTTCGCATAGATTTTGTGGAAAAAAACCAATAAAATTTCTGGAAAGCACTTGTTAGATTGAAATTTATCTCGATAAAACCTGTCGCTAATTTTTGCATAATTGTAAGTGCTCTTAGACTCCTTTATTTATTCCTTCCTAAAGATTGGCTCAAATAAGCTGATGAATGTAGGTAATCGATTTAAATTGCTATTTGAATACAATTTTTCATAACTATATCTCCAATAAATCTTGATACATTTATCATTATAACTCTAATCTTAAAGTTCGATTTGTCTGTAATGGTTACCCTCTAACATAATTTTCATTGATGAAAATTTATTCTCTAGATTCAATTTCCTTTTTGTGTTTATAACTACATTCATTTTAAATGAATGTGCTATTGAATTCTTCCGTTGGTTCTCGGTAACGTTTTTACTTTTTATTTATCCAGAGGGCAGTGTTCTCTATGTTATGTTGTTTTATATTCTGTATTTTATCTTCAAGTTCAAATTGTAACTAGTATCTTTACCTGTTTTCTTCCGGAAAAACCCCCAGCTTTTTCGCTTGCCTGAAAACTGAAATACGCCCCCAAAATTTGTCGAATACTCTGCCTTCCAAACTTCACCAAATTACTGAACACTATTTAAAATAGAATAAACATGTAATATATATCGCTTCTGTATTTATTTATATATATATCACAACTTTGGTATGTAAGCAGCTGACGAGAAACCTCGAAATAATATGAATTCATACTATTCTGCATCAATGTTTGTTCTTGCTTTATTTAAATTCATAAAGGGAACCAATTGCATGAAATTTATATACTTCATCGGGTTAGTGAACACACAAAAACATCAAGCGCATTAGAAACTCTTAGATTGAACGCTGACATCAACGAAACCTTACGGAGGATCACAAAACTATTTCACCCTTGTTCAAAACTTTTTCGACAGTGCACACTCACGTTCCCACGATAAGAATTTCATAGATTTTACTGTATATTTAGGCCATAAAGTTCAAATGCCATTGACATTCTCCATTTCAGTCATTTTAAGACATTTCGGCCATCATCTGATGCTACCATTAAGTTACTACGTTATTTCCGAATGGAGTAAACTATTTATTCAATGATTTTTAAAGCCTTAGTGTTACTTAGTCACAGTTGATCTTCATAATTTATATGTAAACATGTTGTTTTAAGCCTGGTTATTAGTGTTCTTTGCTTTAAATAGAACATTTTTCCCGACAGTGTATTAAGAAGTTGCTTATTAAGACAGTTTAAAAAATATCTAACAACCAACATTCGACTTTGAACTTCTTCCTTATTGGCAGTATAAACTTGATGCTTATATGTAGTATCAGTTAAGTCAGCAAATACTTCAATTTGAATTGAGAACAGAAAATAGGATCATCTCATTTCTTGCAACAATTTATATAGAAGCTATTGTAATAAATTTTTTATCTGACACCTCTGCTTGATTTGGTTCATAAAACTTGATTATTCCAATTCTTGTTTATTTTGCATATCAGGAGTAATATAAATTTACTAAACGGAATAATAAAATTTTGATATTGGTTATGTTGGGAAAATAATAACACGTTTAGTTTACCAAATATTATTATTGAGGTCAAATTTAGTAGTGTTAAATGCTTATCGTCCGTCTATTAAGTTCAACAATATGACCACTACTCCAGATCTCTACGTTTCCAGCATTGATATTAATGCGCAAAAATGTTGTTAACATAACTACCTGTCCAAATCGTTGCATAACCTATTTTATTTAACACATAAGTGATACTCAATTTCTGAGAAAGGTAAGATAAGCATGATAATTTGCATTTGTTATACCACCTTTTTTTATCTTTCAGGCTATTGGAATTAAATATCATATTCCAAAAACTGTAAGTTTCATGTTTTCTCGGTTTTTCCTGAAACCCTGCATTTTGTGTATCATCATTATATGACAGTAAATTACTTAATTTTGACGAATTTGATTATTTAATAAAATCAAAATCTCTTGTTGGGTGAGTAGAAGTTTGAGGTCTGTAAAGAGGTTCTTCTCGATTGTCGAAAATTCCCGGTTATGCTGCTTTTTCAATCTATGAAGAGTCGGATATGAGGACTTGCAATTTTACTTTGTCTACTACCTTCCTTTATTAGAGTTCAGTTAGGTTGTTCTTAAAACTACTTGTTGCATAAATCGAAATTAATGTTTTCTTTTGAATATGTCATTATACAGTCTTAAAACACCATCCACTTCATCAAATTACAAATCAATGAATAAAAGTCTTTTATAATTCAATAATAATTTAAGAAACATCGGAATTCATTTATTATGAATATACATTTTTTGATAATTCAAACGTGATTCCATCGGTATCTGGCCACTGTATAGTCTTAAAAACAAATAACAAGAGTAGTGTTAACACAAAATGTATTAGCTAAAATGATGAAATATAAAGATGCTAAAATGGATTGTCTACATTTCTGAGACACATCAATTTAACCATCCAAAAACATTTAGCTCGAATGTGTCACTTTTGCAAATGATCAGTTATTAGTTAGAGTAACCTGAGTTACATTCACTTTTATAGATAATTAGTTGATAAATGACGTTAGAATACACCTTTAATCTTAATATGGTTTAAAACTATAAGGCGTTTGTCGCGTGCAATGTATTACAGCGTTTAATAATAGGCAAAAAGACAGTTAGTAAATGTTATTCTATATGATTGTTATATGTCAAGTGTAAATTAACTTCTTAATTTTCAACTTTGTTTAGGATCCTAAACCAGATGATTTATATATGATTTGCTTTACCAGTGGAAGCACAGGTAGTTTTATAATTACTTTAACGTTTTATTTCATTTTGTTATGATTTGTTAAGTTTCTTGTAGTTTTTATGGACAGACAATTTTCTGTTCATCTATGAAAATCGTTCTTGAAACAAAATACTGACTTCCATTCTTGTTTGCTCGAGATAATCGAAAATTATGTAGCCGTTTTGCAACGATCTAGTGATTGAATCGCTAGGATGGGTTGGAACTTTATTACTCCCGATAAACGGACCCTGATCAGTTAGCTTTTACCGAAAATAGGATGACTCTGGAGCTGTATGAAGTAATTTAGTTTCACAAACTATGTCGAATGTAAAGTTTGTGGTTAGTTAGTTCTTTTGGTTCTTGATGTCTGATAAATATCCCCTGATCTCTGATTTCTTATACATTATGTGTAGGTTTACCAAAAGGTGTGATGATCGAACAACAACAAATTGTCGATGCAGTCTTTGGAATCATTGAAAATACTGAAGAGAAGGTTAGTGAATTGATTGTACATTTTCGGTTATTTTATTACGTTATCGATTGTTTATTCTCAGAACAATTATTTACACTGACTGACTTAAATCTTGGCAATCATGTCTAACCACATGACCTCATAACTCCTTTTTACTCACATCAATGTTAGGGATTATGACTGACTGATTTGTTGTTACAGCGTGAAATTCACTAGATTTAACCAGGCTCGTGTGCTTTTTGCCAATGAATAATCCGTTCTTCCACACTTATGATTTTTTGATAGTGGAACAAATACTATTGATTGTATGGGTTGTTTTATAGAGCAAAACTTTTAATTCAAGGCATCTATGGATGAAAAAGGTATATTGCCGCGCCATACATACATATGTTTGCGGTATTCTGTTTTGTTATATGTGTATTATATCTGCATTCATTCAATATAACTTTTGCATTCCTTACGTGTAAAACATTTTTGGCACTGGGGTGAAGATTTAAGTTAAAAGAAAAAAGTCGCCGAATTGACATGAGTTATTTTTCGGTAACAACGTTTACTATTCAATCTAATTATTATTAGGGTTTCAGCTCAATCATCCTCGCAAATAACAGTCTGTCTACTGGAGCCAATGTGAATTGTCTAAATGTGTATTAATTTTAGTGTAAGTCATTTGTCAGTTATAGATATATGTACTCAGACCAAATTTGTATGTGAAAAATAATGATTATTGATTGTCTTAATTGGGAAAGACGGATCAATGTTTGCCACATTCCGGAATTAACAGGATGTATATCGAATGCTTACTGTACAACTGGTTATGGGCAGTCAATCAGTCAGCTACAACTCAGGACCAGGAAAATATATGCATTGATCCAAGTTATCATATCTCATTGGCACAACAAGATGAACGCCAAATTCATAGAAGCAGTTATTTCAATGGTAGTAAAAAATTTCATGTAAGTATATGATACAAGGATAAAGAATTAGTTCGTAGAAAGAAAGGTGTAAAGTAATTACAATCTCACGGTTTAAGGGAAGACAAAGAGTGTATACACCTACTTCATTGTGATCGATTCTGAGCCATGTCATCCCGAGTCCCCACACTCGTTACGATAGTTGTGCGGCCCCCAACCAAGTAGTCTGTATCTACTAACATGGCTCAGACCAGAAGTTAGTTATAGTCAATAAGACGTGAGTAATCAGAATTTCAACCTCTTCATAACACCCCACTTGATAAGAAGAAAATGTCACCGCACTGTAATGAAAGATTTTAATAGTTGTCATGGTTTTACGTCGCTTTAAAAAAAAAATTAAAAGTAGGCATATTATTATTCAGAATCGCGCTGTTTTCGTTTGAATTGTAGTGATGTTTTTTGTATGGAATTCACTGTATTTTCATTTACTTTCATTTTTATTTCTTTAGTGCTGTAATAAATTATCAACGCATCTTTCATATTTGCCATTTGCTCATATCATGGAGCAAGTAAACTCCGTGAGTTTATCATAACTTGTATGTTCTTGAATGTGGATTACCTATGCTTGCAAAACAATGTTCATTATGAGTTTTATTGTATGCCTTATTTTTTATACACAAACCGATTTAAGTATCAAAAGTTGCTTAGATAATCAAGATAAATTCGCGACAGTTGCAGTGTAAAATGCGCCTATGTATCTATTTGAGTATTTGTATCGATCATTTCCCTTATTGTTTGCTTGATTAGGGTTGGTATCAAAACATCCTTCAGATTCAGATCGGGCTCAAAACCCGTCTTATTAAAATTCTATAACATCTTTATTTTCTTAAGCAAAGATTTTTACGTCCAGTCATATCTCTGTTTATAATTATAAGCAATATCGAGTACAGTATATAGTATTCATAGATCACTGCGTATTTACTCATGCCTATGATTTATCCAGTTTATACTTTCTTACTAGATTTAATTTTATTTCTTTTTCGAGTATGCTTTTCCCATACATATTTTTCGTTTCTGGCCTATACAAAATTTAAAGTATTTCCGTGACTTCATGAACATTCGTTATTTTTTCTGAAGTATCAACGGTATTGAATAGAGAATTTATGATGGAAGGGAAGTGGTTAGTAGGACCTAAATTTTCATTCTTTGTTTCTGAAGTGGGGTATTGTGTGATCTCAGTGAATAGTACATGTGCTTCCGGATTGTTTTTGCAATTTAGGGTTACGTCCGTGCGAATCTAGTTTTCCGTAAACTCTTGCCATCTATTTACTTGTGTTTAGGCTTTTAAAAATTGGAGTATATTCAGGTAAAACTTTATTATCTGATCTGTCTTGTTTCACAGTTAGGATAATGAGATTTTGGTATACTATACCGTAGTTACTTTTTCAGCTCACTCTCCTTAATGATAACAAATCTTATTATGATTACCAGCAGATTGGAGACGCAACTATCCATCCTATCGATTCAGCTCTACCATTCGATGAAAAATATACGAGACCTAACATATTGTGGTGTTCAGAATAATATTCATTATTTTTGTTTAGCTCGGATATGGTGTATTTGACCGATTTTCTAAATATTATGTTCTATTACTTATAAATGATTTTACCACATTCTTAAATTTTTTTCCAACGACTTAGCAAGTGGCGTAATTCTGTTCAAATTGTACTTTATAGTCTGCAGGAAGCAATACTATAACCTCGACTTTCCATAGCATTAAGTAGTTTTGACCTGGTCTTCCTTTGATAATTTTATTAAGAGCTCTATTGGTCTTAACATTTATTTTTCGTATTTGTCCCCCTTAGATTGGACCAGAGGCACGATTATTTGGTTAACTTCTTATTAAGTTGTCATCTCTAACATACATTTTTAGTGGTTATCCAAAGATAGCGAAGAATTTCGTTTCTGAAGCACTTTATTACACTATTGTTCAAACCCACTTGCATAATCATCTATTTGACAAAATCATTACACAACTTACCTTTGTCTTCCTCAAATATTTGCTCTAAAATCTTGGCTAAACTCTGAAATAATACATTTTTTGCTATCAGCTAACGTTCTGATATAACCGCGAAACTTTGGTATTTTTGAGTCTAGTAGTAGACTTGAGCAATATTCACATGTACCTTTTTGATCCTAAACTGATCGTTCGTACTTGATATTATCATCCTGATTTTAATTCTTTGAAACGATATAGGCATTTATTAGGAATCTGAAATCACTGTTGTATAAAATTTCCATATACTTAGTAATATAGACCCCTAGAATTAATTTTGATATCACCGTATCCTTTATCTTGTATTAAGTTAAAGATACGTGATCTCGCTAGACATTCCAATTTTTTTGCTTGCTTCAGTGTATTGCATTTCATCGTCATTGAGCAACGAGTTGTTATAAACATAAGACTATCACTTTCCACATCTACAAATACAAACGTTGAGCTCGATTCATAGTTTTACGTTTATAGGTGCAATCGTAATCTAATTAATACTAAGCAAAATCCGAAAAGGTCTCATAAGTGTTGTGTCGTTCCTTTAATAATACTGCCACGTTAACAAAAATACATTCTAAAAATTTAAACGTAATTTTGAGTAGCACAAATCGCTTTTTGGTGTGCAATCGTTATGGTAAATATAAGAAATGTGAGCAACTTGAAAATTGGAGATGTAACATGCAGTTTAATGAAAGACTTAAAATCATAATAAACGCCACTGTCTTTAGAAATCACTATATTTAGCTATTTCTTTTCGGATAATTGCATAATTAAGCTTTCTATCCGATGGCTCTGATAAATATCATCATTCAAATACTGAACATCTTACTTTCAATATATATATATATATATATATATATATATATATATATATATATATATGCGAAACGATTCTTTAAAACTATGTTCATGTGACTTAATTCTTCAGGTTTATAACAACAAATAATCAACTATACAAGTTGATGAAAGCAGTTGGTAAGATCAATGAACAGAAACGACTAAACTCATTTGTTTAGAAAATCTGCGACTTCACATTGTATGAGCGTAATTAGCAGTCTGCTGTATTATATTGTTTTAAAAGGCTGACTGTCGATATACAAACAAGGATTGCTTTTCTTTGACTATCGGTTTCCAACCCTTTTTAGTTAACATAGTTGAGTGTAGTTACTAATCACTACTTTTATATTCTCCACACTGGACGGATGAACGAAGAGAACATTAATGTAAATTTTCATTTTCACACGTGGAATCAGGAGAAATAGCGAAAAGCAACAAATAGAAACAACATAACTGTCGTCATTAATTACAATAATGATGATAATCGGTAATAAAAAGAACAAAGCAAAATGGGGAGTACATAGCAAAAAATAATAAGTTATACACTGTGTATAATACGGAAAAGAATGCATTCATCTGCACGTACGTTCTTACACCAGTATCAATCGAAATTTTCAGGTACCTGTTTAATTTTTCTCGTGAATCTTAACTACATGGAGAGTAAATAAATAATATATTTGTAATATCCCAATGAGTAAGAAAGGCGATTTTCTGAGGTTTCGTGACTAATTGTAAGCCACTTCTTCAGAGAATAAACAACCAAATCAAAATTAATCCAAGTTAAATAGTAAAAACGGAACAATGAGAATATTATTTATTTATAACAATCTACCTAATGCTCAATTTATTCGAGATAATCAAGTCAAACCTTGGTAATGATACTTACATGGACAGTAGTTTGTAAGACGGATTAGGTTGACAATCATTGTTTGCGATAACATAACGTAAGAAAATTTATGTATTTCGAAATTGGTATTCTCTACAAGTTGAAATCTGCTTGAGAAGCATTCAAAAGCTAATAATTCTCAGAAGTGCACACTTACGACCACGTATGAGTTAGAGCGTATGACCATCAATCAATAATTTTAAACCACAGAAAGAAAACCAAACGGTCCAAATTTAATATTTCTGTGAACTAATGTCACGGCTTGATATGTTTTATTTATGAATTTCAATTCTTCTGTAATAATAATCACTTATATTAGTGAGGAATATTCAATAACTCGTGCGATAGCGATCGGTTCGCCCAAATTTACATCCGTTTCTTAACTTATCATAAATCATCATTCTAACATCATTGATTCCGTGATTTCACTAAGTAAAATTACCATATAGAAGGTATAGTTGGTCCCATATGCCCAGTATTACATATGAACTTCAGAAATCTCTTCACAACTATGATATGGGTTAGACAGACGAGAAACCCAGAATTTATAGACACGGTTGGACATAAACTTTCAGATTCTAATAGAGTAAACCATGCATAGGATTGCACTTGACTCCCCTTTTCCTGGTAGCAAACGTTTGACGTCAAGACTCGGGATTAAAACTTTTTGGATGAACAACTGCTTAAGTTTGGGCACCTCAAAGACATCAAAACCACGAAAACACGGATTAAAAAGAAAGATGTAAAACAAATCATATGCATATAATTATTGGTGATTTTGCTCCAAATGCCTCTTTATTCCAAAGTAGCTTGTTTATCTATTGTTTCTGTTCAGTTTGTAATACTAATGCTGGATCCTGTGTCGAACAATTTACTAACAAAAATATATTGGAGATTACTCATGTAATCACATTCACAGAGTTGATATTAAGTTTAATTATGAATTGTACAATATTTGACATAATTGATCTTGTTGTAGTCACGTTTGTCTGAAAGTATAATTCATCTTTTATATGCTTAATTAATGTTTTATAGTCTGTTGTCATTCTCGAAGGAGCTAAAATCGGGTTCTTGACAAGTACTGTCGATGGACTACTTGCTGATTGTGAAAGTCTAAAGCCAACTGTATTAACTGCTGTTCCACGTGTTTTATCCCGTATTTATACCAAGTATTATGAAGCCATTGAAGGATCAGCTCTAAAAACTCGTTTGGTTAATCATGTAATAAAGCAAAAGCTTGGTGAACAAAAACGGTAAATACTCTCTTGTCATAAATTGTGCAGCGGTTAAAAAATTATTAGTTGATATTAGTTCATGTTGCATAGTCGATATTATTGTAATAGTGAAAAACGTTTTCTATGATGCAAACCCACGCCAAAAGTTAGTCGAATTCCAATATGGTCGACTTTCAGAGAATACAAGCCATATTAGCCGTCACTAACCTGAACCCAGGCATTGAGTCTAATGGCACATTTGATGTTAAACATGGGTATGACTTTGGACACTTCTGTTTCAAAACCCATGTAATGTACATATCAGTTGTTAGTAGATTTTTCACCGTATCACAAGCCAACTTTCTCATCATTATGTATTTACAAAAGCCTTCTAATCCTAAGGATTTTTGTATTTGGTGAAACATGATCTATCTGTTAATTGAAACAACAGTTTAAATATTCCTAACGCTTAATATATCCATATCTAATAACTGTATCCTAAAATTTATATCCTTACGTACTGAAATGTTTTGAGTATGTATTTGCTTAAAAGTTCTTCGTTTACATCTTTGGTTTGTACTTCCAACAAGTATGACTTGAAGCCTTGTAGACGAATCTACAATCTTTTTTTATTCTTTTGAGTTTTTTTATCCTGGAGTTAGCACTAAGTAAATTCATGAGATGCTAGTGACATTTGGGAGTCATATGAAAAGTGGATAGTTATTGAATAGATTCAGGTTCAAAAGAAGCCATTCTATGTAAGACACATACTTGTATTGCATTCGGTACAAAATAATATTGTCATCAACGTTAATATCACTGGTTCAACTGATTACTCATATTGAAGTTTATCGCCACTGGCGAATATCAGTTGTCTCAATTCTTGATTTAAATGATTTACGAATGAATACTTTCATTGTATCATGCTAGTAATAGCAAACTTGTTCTATCAGTTTGATGAGTCAACTAGAAGTCTGTGTTCCACGGAATACTTTGTAGTCGGATTGTTAAATACAATTGATTTTCTCATCTACTAGTGATTTTTCATTTGTCTCCGTGGTCCAGTTTCGTATAAGAATTGCTAACTCAATATTAATAATATTCTTCCATTTCTCTAATTTTCTATAGCTTTTTAAAGTGCAGTAACTTGAACATATTGATTTCTACCTTGATTTTTCTATCTAATAATAGCACTTCAGTGTGGAATTATTTGTGTTGATTATTATCTTGGTGAATAAAAGTGAGATTAAAAGATTCAATTTCTTCTTCATTAGGGGGAAATTTAATCATCAAAGTATTTTGGACACACTTTGCTTTAAAAAACTTCACCAATCTCTTGGTGGACGTATTTGTGGAATAATAACAGGCGGTGCTCCTTTGATGCCCGAAATTACACAGTTTATGCGTGCTGTATTTAATGGACTTGTAAGCCAAAAACTGTATATGTAAATTCGTTCAAACTAGTATTGTTTTGGTATTTTTAAATATGAAACAATTAATGTATTCCGAGTCGTGATAGTCTCTGCAAGATATATGTTTTCAAAGCTGCACACGCACTGCAGTCGCAATAACTATTTTCGATGTTCTGCATAATTTGTAGATAATCATTTAATGTAGTCCTTATAAATAATTAACTTCTTAATAGTCAATTTATCTGTTTGAATAATGAATTGGATCCATTAGACTTCACTTAAATTATTAACACCATAAATGTATTCGTTAAGCACTGGTTATTATTAGTAAACAATCCTTGCTTTTTAAAACTAGATATTTTATCGTTGTGCTTGTTATTCTATGAAATCGCATCAGATCAGTAAGGTTGTCTGTTAAATAGTATTTTGGTTAGTGTACCACCTGGAGTCGGCAAGTAAAAGTTCTATTACAGGTTTCATTTTTGATAAACGAAAAAATTTCTTGAAAATGTCTGCAAAATGCTTAAGAAATATGCGGTTTGCCACATAATATGCGAAGCTCAGTGTTGTCACAGTTCATAGGCATCAAGATTTGATCAAATATTAATAACAGATTTCCTGATAGATGATGAGCATCAGGTGATAAAAATTCGACAATTATAAGTTCCAAAGTAAATTTCTAAGTGTAAACGTGTATTTCTTTATTACGTTCAGTTTTAAACCTTTCAACATTTTAGTACTTCAAGTTACTCTCATTATTTATCTCATTTTATCATCTTTTAATAGAAGTAGTAAAGTAGATTGATTCACATATTTGTAGTTATTAAGAGTTTATTTTAAAAAATATGGTAGCAAACTCATTATCAGTCCATTATTTAACTGATAGCATATTTGGACTTATCCAGTATGTTATAAGGAATATATCACGGATTTTTAGTAATTGTCGAAAAAATATTTAACGGTGACAGTGCATTCATTTTAGTAGGTTTAAATGGTATATGAAACCATATTTAAGGATCGTTGCATAAATAAAATTCACTAAATTTAACAAATATTAACCGAATTGTCATTTAGTATCTCATAGCGCATTTGACACGTTTTAATCTTTAATTCTTAGTCACTTTTAAACTGGTCTTAAAAATATTTAGGTTGTCGAAGGCTTTGGTTGCACAGAGACTATGGGAGTTGTAACCGTATCTTTAGTCGGAGAATTTCGTGTTGGTGCTTTGGGTGCCGTTGCTTATGGTGTAGAAGTTAAATTGGCCGACGTATTAGATTTAGGTCTTGTTGTCAAAAGAGATAATCGAGGAGAGGTGAGCTTTTGTGTCTGTTGATAACTTAATTTCCTTTGTGGTACATTTTTTAATAAAGTAAACTTTCATTAAAAATGTATCTTTATATAGTTTAGTCATTTTTTATGTGCTGAAGTTTTTCACGATTTTCCATGAAATCCAAAGAAGTGTTACAACTATTTTGAAAACTGACTAAGTGTTTCATCCAGTCTATGAACGGATAATTATATCCTCTATGTTGAGTGGTTCAATTATGAATTGTCGAAATGAAGTTTAAAAATTTATTGACACTCCAACCAACGTACGTACTGAGATTTATAAAATTTGTACGTTCATTCTGCTTTAATTTCGGAAAACAGCACCATGAATCTTCCTTTTAAGGCAGTAGGATAAAAATTCTTGGTTGAGTGTCTGTGGTTAACATTCATCCTACGTGATCTACAACTTTATTTTGTTAGAATATGGTTATTCTGGCATTTAAATACTACATCCGAATTAAACTATATTTGTAGAATGCAATGATATCTCCTTGATCAACATGTCATCTGTCTCTGTGTTTTGATTGTCTGTTAAAGTGTAACGTTTGTTGTTTTGTATGAGACTATTGTTGTCATTTTCAGTTTTCAGTTATCATTTTCATTTGTTCTTTCTTCCCTAACTTAAAAACATTTACTGATATTTAGTTGATAGGATTGAAATTAGTGTTCATATTGGAGCTTTGATTACAAATGTTACCAGTATGTTTTATATATAAACAAAATTTAGGTTTTTTTTTATAGATATGTGTGAAAGGTAAGCGTTGCACCAAAGGTTACTACA